CGCGCCGCCCCCCGACAAAGCTGCACCGTCCGAGTGACTTGCGTCGCGCCCTGCCCCAAATTCAGCGCCACGCCTCGCCCCAAATTCGGAGACGCGCCCCAACCCACCACCGGCGCAGCAAATCGACAGATCCGCAAGCCCGCTCCAAGCTGCACAGCGCCGCCCCCCTAGTCGCCCAGACCAGCTGGCCGCCCCACGTCAGCCGCCCCACGCACGACACCTCCGCCCTCGCCGACCGCTCCAAACGGCACAGAACCACCAACCGCTCCAAACCCCGCGCCGCCCCCCAAGCCAATCGACCCACCCCACGCGCCGATGCTCACGCCGCGCCCCTGCCCCGAGCACTTCACCAATGTCACCCCCACCGGCGCCTCCACCTCTCGTCGGTGCAGGGATCATCCCGACACTACCAAAAATGGCGCTGCCAACTTATAACTCTTCGTTCGATTTTGACTGCAAATCGCGTTCAATACTCTCGAAGCGACACGGGTGCCCCGACTCGTCCGAGAGTGGGGGGCTTGATGATACACCTCAATGGGCCACATTGGGTCATTTAGATTACAGACCATTTGGGCCAAAGTACTAGGGCCCAAGGCCCGCCAGATAAAGAATCCAAGCCTATTCTCTGATTTGGGCCCCAATAAGACAACTACTTATGCTCGTATTAATAAAAGACCTAATTAGAGTCCTAATCAAAGAGAAACAAGATTGCTGCTCTAATTAGATGTCTTCTATTAATTAAGTATAAATAACACCTCAACCTGAGTAGAAAACTACGTTCTGAAAAAATCCCTCGAGTACTATAGATCTCGTGCTCGGTACTATATTTCTTGTGCTAGTATCTAACTTGAGCGTCAGAGAGGTTTCCGCCGGATCAAACCCGGATTAGTACACGTACTTTGGTTTTGTAGATAGGACAATCAAGCGCTCTCTCTATGTGGTTGGATCATTACATCATCATCATCATCATATATATATATATATATATATATATATATATATATATATATATATATATATATATATATATATATATATATATATATATATATATATATATATATATATATATATATATATATTAAACATATACTGTAATTTCAGCAATATTGTGGTATTCTTTCTTGTTACATGTTGCAAATGTTTTCATTATTGTTTAATAAATTTTTTAAATGTATTTGAATTTAAAAAAATACGCAAAATATGTATTAAATATAAATAAGGGTAATTAGCACTTAACCCCCTGTAGTTACAAGCTTTTGCAGATGACCCCTTCGTACTTATAATATCAGCACATTACCCCTTATGGTTTATGGCCGAGGTAGCTTCCGTTAGTTTTTCCGTCAAACTTAATCCTGTGTGTCACACGTCAAAGTATTTTTTTTGCAGATGACCCCTTGTGCTTTCATTTTCCCGTTCATTTTAGCAGATGCCCCCTTGAAATTTGACACACTCGGTTAAGTTTAACAAAAAAATAACGGAAACTACCCCCATAAACCACAAGGGGGTTATGTGCTGATATTACGAGTACAAGGAGGTCATGTGCCAAAGCTTGTAACCACTCGGTTAAATGCTATTTACCCTATAAATAATCAAAAAAATAAAAGAGAAGAAGATTAAGCCTCTTCTTCTTCTGCGTATGAGTCATCTGTAAAAGCTTGTAACTACAGGGGTTAAATGCTATTTATGCCTGCCCTACTGTCCTTCACCTCCGACGACGCAACACCACTAGCTTAGCCGCCCCACCACCAACTCATTCCTCTTGCACCACGTCACCACCACTCATATCCTACCGTCCTTCACCTCCGATGTCGCAACACCACCACCATCTTAGCCACCCCACCACCATCTCATCCCTCCTGCAGCACCGCCACTATTATCTACTCCATCTCGGCTGCCCACAACCACCCCAATTCAGCCACCAAAAATACAAATTATTTCTGGCAAGATTTAAGATTTAAAGGTGGGGGGCAAATACATATTAATAAATTTTGAGGGGTAATTAAGTAATTTTAGGTTTAAAAATTCAGCATCAGCCACACATCGGGCGAGATTGCCACACGAAATGCAATAGGGGGTTTCTACCTTTCATTTTGTTGTTTACAATTCAATCATGCAAATTATTTCTTGAAGCTTGTTGTTTACATTTGATGGAGTCATAGACAATTAAATAATGAATATTCTATTTTTTACATTGCTATTTGTATTTGGCGGAGTGATAGGCCATCAAAAGCGCGACAGCCACGGCTGCGGCGGTGGTGGTTTTTCCTGAGTATGAGTTTTTACAACATATGCTCTTTTTTAGATTTTTTGGGAGTCTCGGGTTCTATAACATGTGACTTCATTTACAAATTTATTTTGTTTTTTTATTAATTTGGGAGGCCAGAGGTTTGAGAGAATTTGATTTGGTAGAGAGATTTTTGAGGGAATTTGATTTGGTAATAAAGAGATTTTGAGGATGAAATTTGCATGGGGGAGATTTTTTGGGATTTCATTTAATTTGAGTAAGGGTACCGACTTGTAGCAAATTACCCCTTTATTTATTTATTTATTAATTATTTCATGCAATAATTTTATTGCATGCGAGAGTCTAAATTTAACCAAAATTAATAATATATCAAATGTCTATTTCTGTTACAAAATATGAAATTAAAAATTTTCCTCTTGCAATTTTTTTATGTCAATTTTATGTTAAAACAATATGAAATTTAAAAAAATTCTCTTGCATATTCAGGTTAGTATTAACTATTAAGTTATGGTGTGAACTTTTTTCCCTTCTTATTTTTGTCAAAATTGCACGATCTAGGTTAGATAAGGCTAATTGATTTCTGATAATATTTACTGAAATGTTAAATTGCACTTTTAAAGCTAATTGCACGATCTAGGTTTTTGACTTTTTTCACATCTGATTTTCGCAAAACTAAAAATACGAGAAATCACACATCTGATTTTGGCAAAACTAAAAATACGAGAACTCTAGTGATTTGAGTTAACTTTCTAATACAGCTTGAATCAGCTAGACTGATTATCGAGTGACAAAGTTATGGAGGAATGAATTATATTCTAAATTTTAGATAACTCGAAACATTAAAGTTGTGGACAGTGTTTATTAATTCATGTATGTATTTCTTCACTGACATCCAATCTTCGAGGAATACTCGGAGACAAATCTACAAAAGCTTCCTATAGGAATCCACAAAGAAATGATCCAATTAATCAAGATACACAATGCGGATCGTATCCATACGATTTTGCACTACTCGACAAATATAATCTGTTTTGTCATTCTAAGCGGTTCTTCTATTTTAGGTAATGAAGAACTTGTTATTCTTAACTCTTGGGCTCAGGAATTCCTATATAACTTAAGTGATTCAAGTTGGATTGGTAAATAACTCAAAGAACTATAAATTCCATGTTTTGAGTTTTTCCAAATTCAAACTAAAAAAAGTTCAAAAGCGCGGTTAAAGTCGAAACGGTATTATTAGAATTGAAATAACATTTATCACATCCCTTACATCAATTAATCGTATTTTAGTTTCACTACAGAGATGAAAATGTTAAAGTTCAAAATTATGAAGGCATTACGTAAATCTCGTGTCATATTTTAGTTGTACTACAAAGATGCAAATGTTAGAGTTGAAGACTGTTTCTTAAAAAAATAAAGAGTACGACCGATGGAGGATTTGTTTCTAGGCACGCATGAGCGACGATATCGCATTTCTAACACGTAAGATAAGTAGAATTTTATTCAAGTAATTATACTATTGATAATAATTCTTACAAACCACCACTCACGTTGGGTTATCAAAGACCATCTCCATTCTTCTTTAACAAAGAACAAGAGAAGGTGCTCTCCCACATTGAGCATTGACTATCCAATTAAAGTAAATATTTATTTGTTCTTCGAAGAACAAATAAATGTTCATTTTCTTGACAATCGGTATGCGGTTCACCAGATTTGAGTTTTCCGTTTTCAAACGAAGTTACTATATAGTGTCGAAGTCTCAATTCTTCTCTAGTTATTCGTTAAAGGTTACATAGAATTTGATTCACGGCGGCAGCCAGAATAGTGCTCTCAACTCTCAAGGTCAGTTATCTACTAGGATTTTGTATGCTTTGTAATTACTACCTAAATGCATCATTTCGGGGTTAAAAATGTTTATAACACGATATTTTTTTTTTAACAATTGTGTGTAACAAAATGGTACTAAAAACAATAATCTATGAGGGGTAGGATTTGATTATGGATCCCATGTTCCGTGGCCATAAAAATATGATTGATTTTCAAAAAGATATTAAGAAAGAAACATGGAATTTGGTTTCAAATTTTAGGACTTAATTTTCGATTTTGAAAGGCACATTGAGATTTGGAAGTATAAAGATTTCTATTCACAATTAAATACAACCATAATCCACAAATCCATAAAATAAGCCTTCAAAACCATTATCTCAATTTATGTATAAAATTGGGGGTTCAAGTCCGAATTTCCTCCATTTTGTCGATTGTTTCAAGTTCTAGGGAAATATTTGAGGGTTAGATTACTGCAATAAGTGATGGGATTTTGGAAGAGAACATGAAAATGAGGAATGACCATCTCAACCAAAAGTTTAAATTGTTAGTGAAATGTGTCATTGAATATTAATATCTCCAATAGGAATAATGCATGTTATTGAGGACTTTTAAATGAAGTTATCATAGATTTTATCTATCCAAACAAGAGTCATCACATCTTTCGTCCTTACACTATTTCCATTTTTTGGTCTCTCTACAATTGGTGGTTACAAAATTTGTCGTTAATGTTGCCAAATTGTCTCCCGTTAACTTTTGTTGTTAGTTTGGATAGAAGTATGACGCGGACTTGAAAATCTCACTACAATTTTTTTTGGCCCTTCCATATTCTAGATAGTAATTCATATCCCCTTTTTATTTTTGTTAAAAATGCAAGAGTATATGCATAGCTAATTTATTTCTGATAATATTTAACATGTTTCAGTAAAATATGGGATCTAATGATGTCACACAAGCATGCTCTAATAGTCTAAATGGAAAACTCAATCAGTTGTCAATGGAACGATCCCAGTGTACTATCTACAGAGTACATAAGCATTTACGAAATGTCAATATGAAGGCTTATGAACCTGAAGTTATAGCAATTGGTCCTTATCATCGTAGTAAAGATAACCTACAGATGATGGAAGATCACAAGTTGTGTTACTTGCGTTTAATTCTTGAACGTAAAGAAATAAACAATATTGAAACATATGTCTCAGCTATCGAACCACTTGAAGAAGAAGCACGCAAGTGTTACGCGGAGCCTATTACCCTTAATTCTCCCGATTTTTTAGAAATGTTGATTTTAGATGGTTGCTTCATCATTGATTTGGTGCGAAAATGTAACAGGCCGGCCATACTTGAGAGAAAATAATGATCCTATATTCCATATGGACTGGATCATTAATAGCTTGCAGCGAGATCTTATCCTATTTGAAAATCAAGTTCCCTTCTTTATTTTGTGCAAGTTATTCGACTTGATTGAGGTCCCAAATGAACATAGTAGGTTGATATACCTTTTATTGATTTTTTTCAATAGCATCTTCCCTGGAAATATAAATAGAAATGTTAGTACACATATAAGTTCGGATAACATAAAACATTTACTTGACTTGATGCACAGTAATTGGCATCCTTCTTTTGATCGGTAGAATTTTAGGGAAGACGAAGACAATGAAAGGAGGAGATGGCGGTTCATTAATAATGCAACCGAGCTTAGAGAAGCTAATGTGAAGTTTAAACGAACCGAGGGAGTTTCATTGTTCGATTTAAGGTTCGAAGATGGAAATATGCTTTTGTCTCCTTTGACTATTGAAGACAGGACAGAATCGTTGTTCAGGAATCTAGTGGCGTACGAGCAATATTTTGGAGACGGCCAAACTAATTATGTGACGGATTATGTGAAGTTCTTGGATTGTCTTATTGATTCTTCGAGGGATGTTGCAATACTTTCACGCCATGGGATTATTGATAATTGGTTAGGTGATGATGAAGTGGTTGCTAATATGTTTAATAAACTTACTGACTCAGTTGCTGGCCCTGGAACTCATTTCGTTTATGCTAATATTTTTCATGTGGTGAATAAGCATTGCAATGGGCGGAGGAATAGATGGATGGCTAAGTTAAGGAGGAACTATTTGAATAGCCCTTGGGCTGTTATTTCTGTTCTTTTTGCTGTTTTGTTGCTTCTACTCACAGTCACACAGACTGTTTGTTCTATACTGCAGGTAGTTTGAGCTTTATGACAAGATACATATTTCAATGTGGTAATAATATATGTGAATGAATGTTTTAAACTTTATGTTATATGTAATATGTGTCATAACTATAGGAGTGCGAGAGTACAACCCCCCCTTTAAAGGCTCAGGCTCAATTAGTTTAGGCTCGAACTCGTAATTTGGAGTAGCCTTCTGATCAATTGATATAGAGCTGACTTTCAATTACATTTTTAACTATTTAAAAGCATGAAGGTCTCTTCACGAGCTTTATTTATTAATTTCTTTTATTATATATATATATATATATACTAGTATTTCACACGTGCGATGCACGGGGCATTGAGTTGTAACAAATATTTGATAATAAAAAGTTCTTGAAATACTAAGATGAATGGTTGATATGCAATACAAAGTAGTAGAAAAATATTTAATAAAAAACTATTTGGTATGATGTAAGTGATCAATTAAGTCAAAATAAGTGGAAAAGTTAAAAATCGAAGGTTTATTTTCCGTATACAAATAGTGAATACATCGTTGGTCCCAAACTTGTGGAACCATAACGACCAATAAATTCAAATTCTTAATTTGATGCAAACAATTATTGTTATTGCGTTTGATAACAACCGCCCTAACGCATGTATCCAATACAGTGCGAGTAACCTACATATTTTATACAGTGGTCATACGAAATAACTAATAATTACCAAAACAACAACAATATAAATGTTTAATGAAATAAAATCATTTTACACTAAATTTACCTTGATAAAACATCTTGAGTGGAATCGATAGTAAGTTCATAGTACAATACGAATTACGAATAACCATACATATAAGTAATAAAAAATTAAAGGTTGTTATTTAATAATGTATACAATTTCACATAGTTACCTTAATATATGCAGAAAAGTTTCCAGGTGTACCATTGTTTGTAACGTTGGTCGTATCGCTAGATTCCTATTTGATAAAAATCTTACATAAGGGTTATTTAATTGAACAGGTTGCACACCAGATTGGGATAAACAAACTCGATAAGATCCAAAAAATGAATTGAAAGAATCACGAATCAGCATGTCATCGGGAATTTCAATTCAAGTACTGTTTTATTAATATCAATCCTAATCATAATCCTCAATTTATTTTATGCTACACCCAATAAAATACACTGGGTAGATCTTTACCATTCATAGGCACACAAACACACAAACACACACATTGGTGTGTGGATCAACGGTAAAAAAATCACCCGGTATAGTCTTCATCGGCTATAGCAGAGAAATAACTCATAATCCTCATACTAATGCTAATACTAATAATATTATTACATATATCATATTATAATGCTAACTTTAATATACTAATGTCGTCAATACTAATGCTAATATTAATATACCAATAACAATAACAATACCAATACTAATCCCAAAACAAAAACCAACACCAACACCAACACCAACACCAACACCAACACCAACACCATTACCATTACCATTACCATTACCATTACCATTACCATTACCATTACAATAACATTATCATTACCGTTACCATTGCCCTTACCATTGCCGTTAAAATTGCCATTACTATTACCATTATCAATACCATTACCATTGTCATTACATGTACCATTATCAATACCAATAAAAATACTAATACCAATATCAATACCAATACTAATACCAATACCAATGTCAATACCAACACAAATACCAATACTAATACCAATATCAATATCAATACTAATACCGATGCCAATACCAGTATCAATACTAATACCAATACCAATAGAAATATCAATAACAATAACAATACCATTATCAATACCATTACCAGTACCATAACAATTAACATAACCCTTACCATTACTAATAATCGTAATCCTAATCCTAATTGAAATTATAATCATAATCCTAATCGTAATGCTAATGTTAATTATAATAATAATCATAATTCTAATCATAATAATAATACTAATCATTATCCTAATCGTAATCATAATACTAATGCTAATGTTAATACTAATACTACTACTAATATTAATAATAATATGAATATCAAAACCAATATCAATATCAATAGTACTAATTTCATTATCAATACCATTACCATTACCATTATCATTGTCATTATCATAACCATTACCATTACCATTACCATTACCACTACCATTACCACTACCATTACTATTACCATTACCAAAGCTAATATACTAATGCTAACCATAATGCTCATCCTAACATAACATTAATGCTAATGTTACTCCTAACCCTAATCATAATTCTAATACCAATTCTAATTATAACTATAATCCTAATCACAATCCGGATCATAATCATAGTCCTAATCATAATGATAATGCTAATCTTAATCCTAACACTAACTCTTAATCATAATTCTAATAATAATAATAATACTGATCCTAATTCTTATCCTAATAAAAATCGAAATATGCTAATGATAACGCTATTCTTAATACCAATCCTAATATGCTAATGCTACTGCTAATCCTAATCCTAATTTTAATCATAATGCTAATACTAATACTAATACTAATTATAATCATAAAGCTAACCCTAATACTAATATGCATACTAATACTAATCATAATATGTTAATGCTAATGCTAATATTAATGCTAACAGAATACTAATATTAATACTAATACTAATACTAATAATAATACTAATACTAATACTAATACTAATACTAATACTAATACTAATACTAATACTAATACTAATACTAATACTAATACTAATACTAATACTAATACTAATACTAATACTAATACTAATACTAATACTAATACTAATACTAATACTAATACCAATACCAATACTAATACCAATACCAATACTAATACCTATACTAATACTAATACTAATACTAATACTAATACTAATACTAATACTAATACTATTATTATTACTATTACTATTAGTAATAGTAATAGTAATAGTAATAGTAACACTAATACTAATACTAATACTAATACTAATCCTAACTAATACTAATACTAATACTAATACTAATAACAATACTAATACTAATAGTTATACTCATATTAATATTGTTACTGATATTAATTCTAATACTGATATTGGTACTAATAATGCTATTGATACTGATAATAATACTAATACTGATACTGGTACTACTACTAATACTAATACTAATATTGATACTGATACTTATACTAATACTGATACTTGTATTGATATTAATATTATTGATAATACTAATACTAATACTAATACTCATACTCATAATAATAATACTCATACTGATACTGATATTGGTACTGATATTGGTATTGATACTGATACTGATATTCATGGTAATATTAATAGTAATATTAATAGTAATAGTAATATAATATTAATATTAATACTGATACGCATACTGACACTCATACTAACACTCATACTAATACTGATTCTCATACTAATACTCATACTGTTATTCATACTAATACTGATAATAATACTGATATTGGTAATGATAATATAATACTGATATTGATACTGATATCTATACTAATACTGATACTGATACGAATACTGATTCTGAAACCGATATTGATAGTGATGTTAATACTGATATTAATACTAAAACTAATATTAATACTAATACTAATACTAATTCTATTACTATTACTAATACTAATATTAATACTATTACTATTACTAATATTAGTACTAATACTAATACTAATACTAATATTAATACTATTACTAATACTAATATGTTAATATTGTTAATGTTAATGCTAATGTACTAATGCTAATACCAATTTTAATGTTAATTCTAATCTGGATATGCTAATCATTATGCTAATGCTAATTATAATTGTAATCCTAATATTATCCAAATCACTATCATATTCCTAATCCTATTCATAACATTAATCATAAATCTAATGGTAATCCTAATCCTATTCCTAACACTAATCATAATTCTAATCACAACCCTGATAATTTTAATACTAATAATGCTAATGGTAATGGTAATGTTAATTATAATTCCATTTCTAATCTTAATTCTAATCATAATCTTAATCCTAATGCTAATTATAAATCTTAATACTCATACATGTCACTAATTGTAGTACTAATCATAAGCATAATTTTAATTCTAATTCTAATACTAATATAAATCATAATCATAATCCTAATATTAATTCTAATACTATATTAATCCTAATTATAATTCAAATCCTAATCCTAGAATTAATACTAATAATAATTCAAAGAATATTAAGTATAATCCTAATAATAATCACAATCCTAATTCTGTTTTTGCATCATTTTTTTTTTTGCAATGATCTATTATTTTGTATCAAAAATAATTTTATTAAATCACGCGACCTTTATATCAATCCTTATGCGTGGTAGCTAAAGCATCAAAAAATACATATTAAATATATTAGAAATTAATATTTAATTATATTATCAAAATGACATTAAAATTATTTAAAATATTATAAAAATATAAGAAAACGTTAAGACGTAAAAAGAACAATAATCATTGTTAATAGGATAAATTATGAAAATCCTCTTGAACTTAGGCTAAAGTATGAAAAACACCCCCACTTATCATAATTACCAAAATCCCCCTGATGTTTGTTTGTGTCTTACAGGAGCCCCTTATGGTGTGAGTTTTTACGGCATATTTTTTATTCCATGTAATATCCCAAAAAATGTGGATTCTACTCTTGCCGTCGTGAAATTTATTTTATCCTACTTTTTAAATACAAAAATTATCCTCAAGGGAGGTAATGGTAATACTTAAAAGTTCTGAATAAGAAGAATAAATATTTCGTGTAAAGTCCCCTGAGGGTAATTTTTGTATTTAAAAAGTACCATAAAGAAATGTCGCGTGTGCATGGTAGAATCGGCATTTTTCAGGGAATATTCCACGTAATAAAAAAAATCCATGTAAAATCATATCATTAGGGGGTCGATGTAAGACGAAAACAAACATCCGGGGAATTTTGGTAATTACGAATATGTAGGGTGTTTTTCTTAATTTAGCCTAAGTTCAGGGGATTTTTGTAATTTATCCTTGTTATTCTACAACTCAAATTGATTTACACGTATGATCATATGTTAGAAACTAACATAAAGGAAAGGCTGATACTAATGAAAATAGATCAAATTTCAAG